TCTTTGTGAAAAGATACTTTAGAGCTCTAGTGGCTCATGGTATGATCCTGACGCCTTCCCCTTCCCCCACCCTCATTTTTAGAAATTGTTATCAGGTTTGGTATATGTCCTTCCAGTCATCATTCCTACAGGGTATTGGTTTGAAGTAGTTACATTAAAACAAGGTTTTCATCCTTCAACCACAGTCTGACTAGGCTAAACTCTGGGTATAGTTTATCAATCCTGGTTGTACTTCATCCTTTTTGTCTCTGTCCTTGGAGTGAGTTATTTAATCTTCCTTTATCCTAGTTTTGGAGGGGACTCACTCCATTATTTGTCGATCCACTGAAGCCATTAGTCATTTATGGAGTTCCCGATGCTGCCAGGATACATAGGTGCTTGCAATATAAAGATGAATGACTCGGGCCTTGCCCTCCAAGGACAGCTCAGTCTAGTAAAGGCAGTAGTTCCAATCCAATCATTGGCACCCAGAATGGTAGCAGTAGAAATGAAACAAGTACATGTTATATGGATGGCACAAAAGAAAATGATCCTTTTTCCTGGTGAGATCAGAAGCTTCACAAAGTTTCACTTGAGCTGCATCCTACAAGATGGGTAGCAGTTTTCCATGGGGAGAGAGGGAGGGAGAATAATGAGTACGAAGGCCTGGCTTTGAAAACAGCAAGGCAAGTTTAGGGAATTGTGGGTTTGCAACATGTGGTGTAGGTGTGTGTGTGAGCGTGTGTGCACGTGTGTGTATGAGTGCTTGCATGTGTTTGTTGCGGGGGAGCAGCTGAGGATGAAGCAGATGAAAATGAAGGAGGCAGAAACAAATGTGTGGCATGATAAGGACTTAGAATCTGTCCACAAAAATGGAGAATTTTTGAAGGATTTGAAGCCCAGGGGTGGATTGCCATGATCACATTTGCCTTTTAGGAGATATTCGAGGACCAGAGTGGAGGCTGGATCAGTGTAGGGAAGAGAGGTGGCAGGAATACCAGCTAGAAGAGCTGCAGAGGCCCAGGTAACATGGGGCCTTGGGAGAGTCAATGCTCTGGGTGGAGGCAAAGCGATGGCAGTGTGTGGACGGGGCTGAGACATATTTGGGGGACGAATTCAGTTAGAGAAGTGGGGGAGGGCTGCACGTCTAGAATGATATCTAAGTTTCAGGCTTTGGGACCAGGTAGATAAAGGGACCATTCACAAGAAGGTGAATCCAGAGAAAAGAAGAGGTTTGGGGAAAAGATGGTAACTTCTGTCAGTTACATATTGAGAGTGGGGTGTCTGTGGAACACCGGGTGCAGAGGTCTGCTTCTCCATCTGTAACGTGAAGCCTCATTATGAAAATGTGGCTAAAATGAAAGAATGCTTTGAAATTCTCATATGAAAGGTGCTGTGTAAGAGCAAAGGACATTATTTTAATGCCATTCATATACTCTCTTCATGGCCTCATCAGCTAGTCTTTCACAATGAAGAGAACTCTGTCCTAGTCTTTCTTGTTGTTGATAATCCTCATCCAAGGATATTTTTCCATCGATTGTTACAGAGAGTGGAAGGGAGGGGGAGAGACAGAGAGAAAAGCATTGATGTGAAACACATCAATTGGTTGCCTCCCCTACATGCCCCGACCACAACCGGGGTTGGAGCCTGCAACTTAAGTACGTCCCTTGACTGGAATCAAACCCAAAACCCTTCAGCTCTCAGGCCAATGCTCTATCCCCTGATCCATACTGGCTGGGGCTTAGTCTTGATTTTAATCACTGTGATGCCTGTAGCCTATTCCAGGCCATGAAAAACACAAGTGTTGGAAATGTAAAATGTGCGTTAGGCTGCACAGGCAGGGAGCGTTCCAAAGTTCCAGTCCAGGAAGCCCAAGAGGAGAAGAGAAAAGAAGGCTCTGTGCTCAGTTGTGAGGGTAGTAGATTCAGGCCCTTTCACTGACTCACTTGTAAATCATGCCTTTTGGTGTGTTTAATCAGACTTACAATTTTCCTGAAACATTTAGGATGTCTTCGCTCATGGCACCTACTACATGGCTGCTATTTAGGATTTAATATTGATCAACACTGACAGGATCCCTGACCTCACAGAGTCAATTGTTTAATAGTAAGAAGAATTTTTTAAGGTATCTCATGATCAAGAGAAAGGATCAAGACTGAATCAACAGGCTTAAGGTTTCAAGATGGTGGTGGAGTAGGTGGATCTTTCATACACTTCCTACCGGAGCCAGACTAGAAATAAAACTAAATTAGGGAACATTCACCCAGAATTATCAGCTGAAGAGGAGACTTTTAACAAGGACAGGCAGACACCACCTGGAGTCTGGTAGGCAGGGTGGGGTCGTGAGAGGGGTTGGCCCAGCTTCCACGGGCATTGGGCTGAGAGTGAGGAGGGATGTCTTGGCTACAGGGCAATTTTTCCTTGAGAGGAGTGAGGCCCAGAGCACCAGAGCCAAGAGTAACGGCCCATATAACATCCAGCTGTGAAAGGTGGTGCAGTTTTTGACTGCTGGAGAGAACCAGAGTCGGCCAGAGATAAAGCCACTTTTTTTAAACAAACAAACAAACAAACAAACAAACAAACAAACAAACAAACAGACAAACACAAAGAACCCAGAGTACAGGATTTTCTTATTACTATTTTGTTGTTGTTAATCCTCACCTGAGAAGGCTTTTTCCATTGATTTCTAGAGAGTGGGAGGGGGAGAGACAGAGAGAGAGAAACATCGATGTGAGAGAGACACATCCATTGGCTGCCTCCTGCACACGCCCTGACTGAGGCCGGGGATTGAGCCTGCAACCGAGGTATGTGACCTTAACAGGAATAGAACCCATGACCCTTCAGTCTGTGGGCTGATGCTCCAACTACTGAGCCAAACTGTCTAGGGCCAGAGTGAAGTATGGTAGGTAGTTTAACTCTAACCCTGCTGTTTGGCTTCTGCACTTATTTGCTTTGTTTAACAATAGAAAAGTTACTTTGATTTTCTGAACTTACGTATGCTATCCCAATCGATTGAATCCTCCGTTGTTGGTGGTTTGAATATCCCATTGACTGTGATCTCACTGGTTTTAGAAAGCACATTCCTCTGTACCTGGGAACCAGGACAGCACAATTATCCTAAATTACCTCAGTGACTCCAGATAACGTGTTTCTGTTGACGCAGTGGTCCCAAGACTGAATGGCTCCAGATAATGTGTTCCTGTCAACTCAGTGATCCCAAGACCCATGGCTCCAGGCAATGTGTTTCCGTTGATTCAGTGGTCCGGAGACCCAAAACTATAATTTAACTAACTTGCTCAATTCTGCTTCTGTAAACTGCTTTTTTGCAAACCAGGCTCCTCATTCCAAACCCTGAGATGTAATCTATACCTTTGTGATTTTTGCCTATATAAATCTGGTGTTGGGGCTAGTTACTACGAGATTTGAGAGAGCAAAATGCCCCCTCGTAGTCCCGGATTTGCAATAAATGAGACTCCTTAATTCGACTTCTTGAGGCGTCCTTGTGTGATTCGCGGGGACATTACAACAAGAGCACAGGAGTTTTGTTTGCAGCCACTCACCCGAGGCTTCGGTGGAGGGAGGTAGTGTGGGCTGGAGTTGCCTGAGGAGAGGCTGGGGTGCAAGAGCGCTGGGGGGAAATGTGGAAAAGTAGTGGTCAGGAGACCTGCAATGGGTCGTCCCCCACCCCATACCGCAGCAGCCATTTTTCTGAGAGGTGCAGGCCTGTCCCAGCAGCAACAGCTCCAGAAAAGGCAAACACCCTGCCTGTGGCCCCAACCTCAGGAATCCCACTTGCCTCCCCTGCACCTCAACCCCTGCTGAGGAGACAGCAGCAGAGGCCAAGCCTAGGGGTTTGAATAGACTGGGGGTAGGGGGTGGGGGCGGGCATGAGTGACAGGCTTTGGGGTGGGACCATTACTCCACTGTTTTGGGAACCTGACTGGTGCTTCCCCCTCATGGGAGAGCTAATAAGACCCCACCAGACTGCATATGAGGGTCAGGGAAATATTCTGGAACAGTCTCAGATGAGTGGCTGTGGGACAGGGGAACACCCTTAAAAATCTGAATAGCACCTCCCCCTCAAGGAAGACCCAGTGGTCTCATATTCCTGATTCCACCAAAGCCCTTTCAGAAACAGCCTTTTCAGGGCCTAAGTCTGACAGTGGGCTGGCAGGTGGAGACTTGGGACATTTGCTGGCCCATCTCTGGGCCCCCTGATGCTAACAAGCTGCCCCCAGAGTGCAGGGTGGCCCCTCCCAGGTGCAGCCAGACCCTGTGGAGGCAGCCACAAACTGGGTCACTTGAAACTTCGGACAGTTTGCTGAGAGCCAAATGTGGACAGATGCTGACAGTGGCTAGCACAAAAGTACCTCCTGGGAGGCCCAGAAACAGCAGACAAAACAGTCAGCCTCCGTCAACAGAAGAGCAGGATCCAAAGGGAGCTCCCAGGAAGCACTAAACTCAGCTGAGACCAACTCCACTTCACTTTTGTTTTTCTCCTTTCGCATTATTTATTTTATTTTTCTTTTTTATTACTTTGTTATTTTTCTCTCTTTTTTCTTTTATATCTCTTATTTTTATTTTTCCTTTTCTTACTCTATTTTTTCTCTTATTTTTAAAATTCTTTCCTATTTTTTAAAAAATATTTTTTTAATTGATTTCAGAGATGAAGGGGGTGGGGGGAGAGAGAGAGAGAGAGAAACATCAATGATGAGTGTTAGGTTAGGTGGCTCAGGAGGCGGCGCAAGAAATAGAGTCCAGTGAATCAGAAAAGAAAGGAAAGGAAAAGGTTTATTCTGCGTCCCCAGGAGACCCACGTACCCCAAGGACAGGGCACGTGGATTCACGCCAACAGGGAGGGGGGCGCTTTTTTTATACTGCGGTTGGGTGAGGGGCGGGGACATGAGCTGAGGAATTCTCTGCTGCAGGGAATGGGCGGAATATTCAGGACGAAGTTCTTATCTGTGTGGGGGTATGTGAATTCAGGGAGAAGAAGCTGGTACCTTGATCTGTGAGAAATTCCAGGGGAAGTCCATTATCTTGTCATGTCTGCATGTATCCGATCCTGGGCTCTCTCCGACCTAACAATGAGAAAGAATCATTGATCAGCTGCCCCCTACACGCCCCCAATGGGGATCAAGCCCACAACCTAGTCATATGCCCTGACTGGGAATCTAACCAGAATGTCCTGGTTCAAAGGTCAACACTCAACCACTGAGCCATGTCAACTGGGTTCTCTTCTTTTTTCATTTTATAATTTTTGTCTTTCTTCTTCCTCCTCTTATTTCCTCTTTATAATTTTTCCTTCCTCCTTTTTTAGACTGTTTTCCTATTTTTATTCTTATTTTTCCTCCCTCTTCTCTCCTTTCATATTACCTTTTCTTCCCCCATTTTTCCTCTTGTGTTTTTTATTTTATTTTATTATCCTTGTTCTCTTTTCGTTTGTGGTTCTTTTTGTTGTTGTTATAGGGGTCTTTTGTGTGGTTTTGTTTTGTTTGGTTTGATCAGCACCTGCACAATCGCTCGCACAACATAGTCAGGGTTGAGCCTCACAGTCAGCCAGCCTAAGAAGAAATCCCACTAACAAAAGGGACAACAACAATCAAGAGAGCCCAATTAACAATAGGAGAGCCCAGTTAACCCACACAAGGCACATTCTTAGAGCAGCCAGCTCAGAAGATCAAAGAGACTGTACCACTGGGTGAAAACCTATGTGTCACCAAACAATCTAGGTGAAACAGAAAAATTCCTAGAAACATGCAATCTTCTAAAACTCAATCAGGAAAAATGAGAAACCCCGAAAAAGCCAATAACAACTAATGAAATTGAAGCAATAATTTTAAAAACTCCCAGAAAACAAAAGTCGTGGACTGGATAGCTTCACAGGCGAGTTTTACCAAATATACAAAGAAGAACTAACACCTATCCTCCTCAAACTATTCCAAAATATTCAAGAGGAGGGAAGACGTCCAACCTCTTTGTTTAAGGCCAGCATTACCCTAATTCCAAAACCTGATAAAGACACTACAGAGAAGGAACATTATAGGCCAATATCCCAGATGAACATATATGCTAAATCCTCAACAAAATATTAGCAAATCAGATCCACAAATACATTAAAAAGATCACATACCATGACCAAGAGGGATTTATTCCAGGGATGCCAGGTTGGTTCAATATTTGCAAATCAATAATGTGATACAACACACAAACAAAATGAAGGATGAAAATCACATGATTGTACTAATAGATGCAGAAAAAGCATTTGACAAAATCCAGCAGCCATTTATGATAAAAACTTTCAGCAAAGTGGGAATGGAGGGATCATACCTCAACAAAGTAAAGGCTATATATGAAAAACCTACAGCCAACATCATACTCAATGGGCAAAAACTAAAAGTGTTTCCTTTCAGATCAGGAACAAGATGGATGTCCACTTTCACCACTTTTATGCAACATAGTATTGGAAGACCTAGCCACAATGATCAGACAAGAAGAAGAAATAAAAGGCATCCAAATTGAAAAGGAGAAGTAAAAATGTCATTATTTGCAGATGACATGATATTGTACATAGAAAACCCTAATATTCCACCAAAAACACTGCTAGATTTAATAAATACATTTAGCAATGTAGCAGGATACAAAATTAACACCCAGAATCCATGGTATTTTTATACATCAACTAGAGGCCCGGTGCACGAAATTTGAGCATGGGTAGGGTCCTTAGATCTGGCCAGTGATCAGGGCCAATTGGGGCCTTCCTTCCCTGGCTGCTGGCTGCCAGCCGGGACCTTCCTTCATTCCACACCGCCCCCTGGTGGTCAGTGCACGTCATAGTGAGCGATCAAACTCCTGGTCTCCTGGTCAAACTCTCCAGGGGAAACTGCATATTAGGCATTTATATATATATAGATAATGAACTCTCAGAAAGACAAATTAAGAAAACAATCCCATTTACTATTGCAACAACAAAAAATAAGATACCTGGGAATACACTTAACCAAGGAGGTAAAAGATCTGTACTCGGATAATTTTAAGACTTCAGAGAAACAAATAAATGGCAGCATATACAGTACTCGTGGATAGGAATAATTAATATTGTTAAAATGTTCATACTACCCAAAGCAATTTCTAGATTCAATGCAACCCCTATCAAAATATCAATGGAACCACAAAAGACCCTTAATAGCCTCAGTAATTTGAGAAAGAAGAATAAAGTTGGAAGCATCACACTATCTGATATCAAACCACACTACAAGGCCATAGTAATCAAACTGGCATGGTACTGGCATAAATCCACACCAATATGGTCAATTAATCTATTAATAGGGTAAGGAGAGTTTATTCAGTAAACTGTGTTGGTAAACCTAGACAGATACATGCAAAAAAAAAAAAAAAATGAGACCACCTTCATGCACCATATATGAGATTAAACTCAAAATGGATTAGACCTAAATGTAAGACCAAAAACCATAAAAATCCTAGAAGAAAAACAGGCATTGCTCTTAGCAATAGTTTTTTTGATATGTCTCCTTGGGGAAGGGAAACAAAAAAAAAGGTGGGGAGGGAATGAGACCATATCAAATTAAAAAATTTTCATATAGCAAAGGAAATCATCAAAACAAAAAGACAACCTAAAGACTGCTAGGTACATCCATAAGGAGTTAATATCCAAAATTTATAGAGAACGTATACAACTCACATAAAAAAATCAAACAATTAATTAAAAAATAGGCAGCCTGTCTGATGTGGTTCAGTTGGTTGAGCATTGTCCCATGCACCAAAAGGTCACTGGTTTGATTCCCAGCCAGAGCATATACCCAGGTTGTGGGTTTGATCCCTGCTCAGGTTGTACGTATAGGAGGCAACTGATTGATGTTTCTCTCTCACATTGACATTTCTCTCTCTCTCCCTTCCTCTCTTTCTAAAATCAATAAAAACATATTTTTTAAAATGGGCTGAGCACCTGAATAGACATTTCTCCAAAGGATATACCAATGGCCAATGGACATTTAAAAAGATGCTCTACATTACTAATCATAAGAGAAATGCAAATTAAAATCATAATGGGATATCACCTCACACCTGTCAGAATGGCTATCATCAATAGATCAACAAATAAATGTTGGCGAGGATGTGGAGAAAAGGGAGTTTGCAAATTGGTGCAGCTGCTGTGGAAAACAGTATAGAGGTTCCTCAAAAACTTAAAAATAGACCTATGTCCCAGCAATCTTACTTCTGGGTATTTATTCAAACAAACCCAAAACACTAATTCAAAACGATAAATGCACCCCTGTGTTCATTGCAGCATTATTTACAATAGCCAAGATATGGAAACAGCCTATATGGCCATCAATAGAAAATTGGATATAGAAGAGGTGGTACATATATACAATGGAATATTACTTGGCTATAATAAAAAATGAAATCCTGCTTTGGCCAGTGTGGCTCAGTTGGTTGAGCATGTGCCATGCACCAAAGGGTTCCTGTTTGATTCTTTTTTTAAAAATATATTTTATTGATTTTTCACAGAGAAGAAGGGAGATGGATAGAGAGCTAGAAACATCGATGAGAGAGAAACATCAATTCAGCTGCCCCCTGCACACTCCCCACTGGGGATGTGCCTGCAACCGAGGTACATGCCCTTGACCGGAATCGAACCTGGGACCCTTCAGTCCGCAGGCCGACGCTCTATCCACCGAGCCAAACCAGTTAGGGCTGCCCATTTGATTCTTGGTCAGGGCACATGCTAGGGTTTTGGACTGGATCACCAGTAGGGGATGTGCAGGAGTTGGCCAATCAATGTTTCTCTCTTGCATTGATAATTGTTTCTTTCCTTCTCCCTTCCTCTCTCTCTAAAGTCAACAAAAAAGCATATTTTTAAAAATCACATTGCCTCAGATATTTGAAGCTATTTTTAAGAAGAGAATGAAATCCTACTGTTTGTGACAAGATGGTATTATGCTCAGTGAAATATGTTGGAAGGACAAATACCATGTGATTCCATTTATATATGGAATCTAGAGAATAAAATAAACAAACAAAGCAGAAACAGTCCTGGCCGGTATGGCTGGTTGGTTGCAGCATTGTCCTGTACATTGAAAGGTTGAGAGTTTGATTCCTGGTCGTGGCACATACCCAGGTTGCAAGTTTGATCCCCAGTCAGGGTGCATATGGGAGGCAACTGATTGATGTCTTTCTCTCACATTGCTTATTTCTCCCTCTCCCTTTCCCTCTCCCTTCCTCTCTCCTGAAGACCTTTTTAAAAGAAAAAACCATTTTCTCAGGTGAGAATTCAAAAACAAACAAACAGAACAGACTCATAGACACAGAATAAATTGATGGTTGCCAGATGAGAGAGGGGTTGGAGGGCTGGGTGAAAAAGGTGAAGGGGTTAAAAAGTACAAATTGTTAGTTATAAGATAGTCATGAGAATGTAAAGTACAGCCTATGGAATATAGTGAATAATATTAGACAGTACCATGTGAGTACTAAACTTATCAGCAGGGTTATATAATTGTCTGACCTCTATTCTGTATACCTGAAACTAATATAAAGTAATTATTGAATGTCAGCTGTAATTGAAAAAAATTTTAAAGCAATAAAGTTGAGGAAGCAAAACAAAATTATAAAGAAAGTTATAAATTGTAAATTTTCATAAGTGTTGATAAAAATTAGAGTAAATTATGTAATAACTTTGGTTATTATCCTGTTTATGTTTTTTTTACAGCAAGATATGATATTTTGACCATGATATATGTGCTAACATGACAATTTTTAATCCTTTACCTTATGTGCAAACAATACATTAATCTTTCCATAATTCCAGTGATTCTCATTTTGGTTGAGGGGAAAGTCCTCTGATGTCAGAGAAAATCCAAAGTTCAGAATAGCAAGAATTTGATTGATTTTTCTGGAATTCAAAATTATGCAGAATCCTTCCAGGCTAGAGGGAGATTATAAAAATTCTTTGGGGGTTGTTTCAGGTGGTCATTGACGGGGTTCAGAACAGGGTCCCCAATGCATCATTTTGGCACGCGGATTATTTTGAGTTGAAGGCAATCAAGACTCAAAGTGTCAGAAGAACATCTGCCCCTCCCTTAACTACCTAGAAGAATCTATATTGGGAACCTTGCCCATAACAATAGTTATCACCAGGAATAACTTTTTTATAAACTATATTTTTATTGATTTCAGAGAGGAAGGAAGAGGGAGAGATAGAAACATCAATGATGAGAGAGAATCACTGAATGGCTGCCTTCTGCATGCCCCCAATTGGGAATCAAACCCACAACCCCAACAAGTGCCCTTGACCAGAATTGAACCTGGGACCCTTCAGTCCACTGAGCCAAACCGGCTAGGGCCTCCAGGAATAACTTTTAATGAGCTATCTATATGGTAGGGCACACTTCTAATTACTGAACACTTGCCCTTCTTAGCATCCTGGGAATGAACTTCCTCCCCTCTGAAGCCCCAAGGTGCCTTACCTTATCCTTAGCTCAGAATGCTATATATACCTCATTTTCTTTTCTGTCTCTGACTCTCCCATATGTCATGTATGGATTCTCACTCATGTATGCAGGGTTCCCATATGCACATAAGTAATTAAAGGTGGTTATTGTTTCTTGTCAATCTATCTCATGTCAATTTAATTATTAGACCAAATGGAAGAACCTAGAAGGGAAGAGGAAAGCTTCTTCCTTCCCCACAGCAATTAAATCAGAGCTTGTGTTTCTGAAAACTTGTGAAGTACACTACTTGGCAACTGTGAAAAGGAATGAGAAGCCAGTCACCTGAATTTTCCCCTCTTTTGGTTGTGCTACCCTACTGTACAAACACAGTACAAAAAGGATTGCAAGCAGTCCTCACCAGCCTTATTGATAGAAATGCAAAAGTGACTACTTAATGAAGCCAAACAAGTAAGTAGAACTATATTTGCATACATGGGCTGTATATCACCCAAGTGTCTGGCAATGTTATTTTCAATGAGGCCAAGATCATTTCTTTTTTATTTCATCTTCTTGTTCATTAGCATGGGAAAACCTTTAGTAGCTAAAGTTCATTTTCTTTTATGTACTTTTCTGTGCTCTTCCATTGAACAAAGAAACTTAATTTCAACACAATGTTAGACTGTGAATCTGTATTCGTTTTTTATTCTAGGAAACAAATAGCACAGGCACTTCTAAAGCTAAAACCTGTCTGCAATATCTGTAAGCTTTGTAAAAAGACAATGATACAAGCTGGCTGCTCCAGACCAATAGAGCTTTTATTGCTTTTGCTTGTTTTGCAAATAAGCACCCTCCCCCCCAACCCCACCCCCTGGAGATTCAGTACATAGCCATGTAAGTGAGGATGGTTTCTTATCTTTGCCTTAACTTGATGTGTGATTAATAATTTAAAAGTAAACATTTAGAAATAAATGTTTAAAAGAGGTTTCTGGTTCTGTTCACTGAAATATCCTATAGACAATCCCAACCCAGTAGCCACGAGTACCTGCTGGCTCTCAGATGTGGTCTTGAAATGTTGTTCTACACACACACACACACACACACACACACACACACACACACACTACACAGGGCTGCTTGGGAAAATGGGTCAGTCCGGTCTCAGGTGGAGATGTGGAAGGTGAGGTGAGGCTGGACTATCTTGTCCCCCCAGATAGCTGGCTGCTGTCAAAGACTCAAACAAACCCGAAGAGGCTCCCACTGGTTGAAGCAGCTGGAACAGTTTAAACATTAATGCGTCCAATAGCTCTGATGCATCAAAAGCAAAACCCCATCTAATTACATCCACGAATTCATGATTGCTTAAAAAAACAAAACACTAACCAGCCTCTACTGGGGGATGCTGGAGAACCCTCTGGTTTTCTTGAAAATGAGTAAATCAAAATAACAAGATATGTATTCACTTTCCTATACAAACAACCAAATAGTAGATGAGGGGAAGATTTTTTCATTTTTTTCTTTTTTACAGAAATATTCCAGGTAATAAATGAAGGAAGCATGATAGAGGAGTGTGGAGAGCGGCTACAGTGTTTGGACAGGTTCGAGCCCTGGACTAATGAGAGGGCACGGTCCTCCTCTGGCAAAGCCATGTGCAAGTCCCAGCTTGGAGGGCAAAGCCCTCCCAGCACAATTATAGCCAAAGGCTATAGTTGTAAGCTTGACCTTAGGGTCCGAACCTGTGGTCCCAGGTGGCTAAATGATAGGGGCTGCCTGAGGTGCAGCAAGTAAACAAAGCTTGATCAGGTGCATATAATTGAGTAGATTCAAAAACCCGAGAGATAGAAGGCCGCGGTGCTGTCTCTCCATCAGAGAGGGCAGCATCCCACCCAGACCCAGCTTTCTTCTCTTGTCTGTCTTTTCTTAGTCCTTCACCGCCCCCTCTCAGGCTCGCTGAACCCGACTGTGCTGGCGCGGCATAGAGGAGCACCATTTTGCAATTTCTAACCAACTAATGGATATATGACTTGAAACTCAACTGTTACTGTGAGGGGGGTTGGCAGGGGTTATGTGCTTCATGAGGGAAGAATAAGCCACCAGCTATGAAATATTGTCTTCCCCCCACTTTCTGCTTAAAGAAGGCACCTGAATCTGATCAAGCCTCTGGAACCATGGCCACCTGAGAGGGAACAGCAGACTGAGGGCCATGTGAAACCACAGCAGGGGGATGCCTTGGCCCCTGGGGAAACACTACACAACAGCAACGCAGGTCCCATCTCACATCAAATGCAAGAGGCCTTCGGATGGACAGAGACTAAGCCATGACAACGCATCACAGGTGTGGCTCTTGTTTAGATCTTGATGGAAGCAAACACCCTGTAAAAGAAGAAAATTATGGCATTTGTGAGTCAACTGGAAGTTTCAGTATGATTGAATATTTGATATTTTGAGCAACTATATTTATTGTTTAAAGGTGTGATAATGGTAATATGATTATGTGGGGGAAAGAGAATTTATTCTTTCAGAAACACATATTGAAACATTTACAGATTAAATGATGAAGTGTTTGGGATTTGCTTAAAAGTAAGAAAGTATGTAGGGGTAGTAAAAATGAAACAAAATTGCTCATGAGATAAAAATTATTAAGGCTGGTGGGTTTGTGATGGGTTATTCTTTTCTCTATTGTGCTACTTTGGTGAAAATAATGAAAAGTTTAAAAATAACTATCCTATATAATAAAAGGCCAATACGCAAATTGTCCCCATGGGCGGGAGTTCAACTAACCGGGAGTTAGACATGCGCTGACTACCAGGGGGCAGCACAGAGTATGGCAGGCGTCAGTGATGCGGTGCTGGCAGCAGGCAGCAGTGGAGGCGCTGCCGGCCCCAATGGGCCCCAATGAGAGTGGGACCATGGTGGGATGGTGGAGCAGGTGAGTGGGCGGCGCCAGGCCAAGGAGGGTTTGAGCGGGAGTCCCGATTGCCCCACCGGTTGCCCCACAGATCGACCCTTATGGCTGCCCAGGCCTAGTGACCCTACCTGTGCATGAATTTCATGCACTGGGACTCTAGTATGTATGTAGTAAAAGCAAAACGAAGAATACCTACAATTATTCAAGTAACTATTGAACCAATACATACCTTTCTTCCCTTATCCTGAGGCTCATGGCATTGAGGATCTATCTACAGTTCCCTCTCTCCTCTAAAGCAAGGATAAGAATTGCAAATTTTGAATTGAATTGTGATGAACATTTCTCTTAATTGAATTACATATTCTATCCCATTTCTAACAACCAATTGCCACTTCTTATTGCCGATGTATGCTAAAGGCTTTTTAAATGCAATGAAAGTATCACAATGCAATTATAATCCTTCTAATGGGCACGGGACTTGTCACACTTAATTAAAACCTTCACAGATATTTTATGTAATTCTCACCAAACCATAAGTCAGCTGAGCATTCTTATTGCAATTTTTAATAAATGGGGGAGGAAAACAAAAACATTCAAAGTCACGCAACCATTAGCAGAAGAAGTAAAATCCTTACTCGTTTGCTTTCTGTTTAGTTTTTTTTTCTCTACATAATGATGTTCCTTAGAAAGGCAAGGTAAATTTCAGTTTAAATGACACATCAAGATAAAAGCATATTTTGTTGTCTTGTGAAATCAAGAAATTATGAAATCAAGATTAATATGATGTAAATGATAAAGTTTTAATTTAAGAGCTAAATTAGTTTACAAGTGGTTTAAAAAAATGTGACATACTTTTTGCATTAATATTAAGCATTCTCAAGGTTTTCAAAGCAATAAATATACTCTCTAAGATAAGAGAGACAAACTTTCCATTAACAAATCATAAGGTAATTGCTGATATGTATTATTTAAAAAAACACACACATGTATTTAGTTCAGTTCTAACCCCCAATTACTTTTGGTTTTGTTATTTTTTTATCTCTTTTTTACTCTACATATAATATCCTTGATATATTTTATCTTTGTGAGCTCCTGCAACCTTAAAGAAGATGCCTACCACCAATGCCATGATGAAGCATCATTTTCCTAGCCAGTGGATAAAGGTGAAGAAGCCAATGGAAAGGTAGCAATGGAGGAGAAGAGGCAAATTCATCATTATTCCCAGAAGACACAAGTATCTCCTGGGTAACCTAAGGAATCAACTTAGAAACAATTCCAACTTATAAATGACTTCAATATTTTTCCTTTTGGCCAGCAATAACCAGTCATAAAATAGATGGGGAGTGGGGGGCAATGTCTTCAAAATATCAAGCAAAATATAAAATGTAGGAGTAAATTTAATCAGGAAAATAAGAATCTTTGTGAAGAAACTGCAGGACTGAACTTAGTAATTTTTTAAAAAGATGAATAAATGGAGGAATAAAATATACCTAGAAACAATCACTGTAAATATATTCATTTTCCCTGTTAGCCTATAAATGAAATATAATTCTAATCAAAATCTCAATGTTTTAAAAGTGTTTTGTTTTGTTTTGGTAATGAGACGAAAAGTCAATTGGAGGAATTTAGCTAAATGAATTTTAAAATTTATCTAGAAAATTAAATGCACTCAAACAGCTTTTTATTTTTGTTTTTGAAAGGCAATGAGAGGAAATTACAATAATGAAAACAGTGTGGTCTTAAAATGGAGTGGTGTTCAGAGTCAGACCTGGAAGTCAATTACTTTAATATATGAAAATGATAACATCTCAATAAAGTGGAAACAACTGGTTAACCCATTGTGAAAAAATAAAGTTTGATTCTTTCCTCAAAAATTAAGTTAAATCCCAGATGGATTAATAAATTAAATGTAAAATTCGTAAGCTACCGAACAACTTTCTCTGTCGTAAACCACACACACAAGCCCAATAGGTCAGCTACATAACATTCTTCAAGTCTGTGTGCCTGTTACCCCCTTCACTCCAAACATGACAATGACACAAAACACAAACCCCCTTTTGGTATCAACTAACAGTTACTGACCGAGTGGTTTAAATAGTAAAGATAATCCATTGTCTCCCATAACAAAACTTGGGACGAAGGTGGTTCCAAGACAGTAATTCACTGCCAGCATCGTGGACCTATACACTTTCCCTTTTCATCTCCATCATCCTTTAAGTGCGGGCTCTTCATGTTCCTGCTTGTCAGCTCATGTTGCAAAATGGCTGCCAAAGCTCCAGCCCTTAAGTCCAAATTCCAGACAGGAATAAGTGGGAAGGAACAGCACCAGCCATAACTTGTTTTCCTCTGTAAGAAGGAAAAGCATTCTCAGAGCACCCCGTGCTGGCTTCTGCTTATGCCTCAAGGGCTAGATGTAGGTCACAAGGCCACTCCTAGATACCAGGAGAAGGAGGATTTCTCTTGGCAGTTCCCAGAGAAGAAGGCAGGCCATGGAGGAGGGGGTGGCAGTGGGTGATTGACCTGATCAAGATTCACAGACAAATGACAAACTAAGAAGGAATTAATAGTATATGCGTATAGAGGTAACAAAGAGATGTATCCTTACTCTATAAAGAGTCCTTATAAATTGATTAAGGAAGAAAAGGAAATTATAATAAAGAGTCTAAGGGTTTTAAAAGGCAATTTAATGGAGAAAATGAATAGCCATTAAACAGATAAAAATGATCTATCTCATCAGTAATGTAAGAAAGATCAGCTTGGAAAATATTAAATAGGATTATGGTGTTTAGTTTTGCTTGTTTGTTGGTAGCTGCACTGCAATCAATTTTATTCATGCCTCCTTCCAATCAATCCTTTCCCTATAGGCAATCAGTGTTCTGATTTCTAGTATATATTATTTCTGTAATTTAAATATTGCTTAACACTTAAATATAAGAGAATTCTCACAGGAGAATTCTGCAACCAAGAAAATTACAACAAACAAGCTGGAGCAAATTTGACATGAAAAATATTGCTGCTATGGAATGGGAGACTTAAAGCTCTATTACATTTTTTAAAGATTTGCAAACTCTCATTATTCTGCATGCAATCCTTTTCATTTCTTTTTGTGCTCTCATGATTAAATATGTTTTGCACACTGTATTAAATATGAGTATACCATTTAGAAAAAGAATTCCAGAAAGGAGAGATTTAAAGCCCGCCAGCCATTCATTTGAAAAAGTTAATTTTCTTCTCCTCTTTTGATTGGCTCTTTTTGGGATCTCACTGGGGAGAATCCTTAATGCTTAAGGTTAGGAAAAATACCCAAGGCCTCTGCTCCCAGAGATCTTGTAGTCCATTGGAGAAGACAAGACCTAAAATATTAGTCCAGAGCACAAGATAGCACATTTATTAAAGGCCAAATTGTGAGGACCATATAAGAAAGGAAATCAGCCATCCCTACCTTGATCAATGGTTGCAAAGGTTATAGGAGCACATGGCTGTGAATGTGCTTTGGAAACTACCTTCAGTTACCTAGATACGTGTTGATGATGGCTCCCATGAGGAAACTGGAAAAGTTAAGGAGTCCAGTTCGTTAAACTCCATCTGCTGAGTCTTGAACCTCACCATCAGTGAGGACTTGGGTTCTGTAATGGATCCACAACTTTGTGTGGGGGAGGGGGAACTCGACAAGGAATGTGAGGCCAATTGTGATGACACCCTTTCAAAGAAGACTATAGTGAGAGAAAAGGTAGGGTAAGGAGGGGGCAGTCTGAGCAAAGGGACTGTATTAGTTTGCTAGGGCTGCCCTAACAAAACACCTCTGGCTGGGTGGCTTCAATAACAAATCTATTGTCTCACAGCTTGGCAGGGAAAGTCTGGGGTCAAGGTGTCAGTAGGTTTGGTTTCATCCGAGGCCCCTCTGCTTAGCTTGTGGATGGTTGCCTTTCCCCTGTGTCCTCACGTGGCCTTCCCTCTGTGTGTGGGGGGAGACAGAGATCTCTGGTGTCTCTTGCTATTCCTGTAAGGACACCAGTGCCGTGGGATAAGAGCCCCACCCTAACACCTCATCTAACCCTAATCACCTCCTTAAAGGCCCTGTCTCCAAACACAATCATAGTGTGGATTCCTGCTTCTAGGTATTAATTTGGGGGGAGAATAACTCAGTCCATAATAGGCTCCAAGTTGAGAATCCACAACAAAGGGAAAGAGAAGTCTGGTCTGAGAAGCTGTAAGGTGCTTCCTTTATAAGTGAAAAGGTGAAAGTTCTTAATAAGAGAAAAAAATTGCGTGCTGAGATTGCTAAGATCTATGGTAAGAATGACTCTTCTATCTATGAAATTGTGAGGAAATGAAGAAGAAAAAGACATGCATGCTTGTTGTGCTGTCACAACTCAAACTGCAAAGGTTACAGCCACAGTGCGTAAGAATTTCTTAGTTAGGATGGAAAAGGCTGGAATTTGAGGGTGGGAGGCATGAACGGGAA